CAAAGAACTTTGTCCCTTTGGGGCAAAAAGGGGGAAGTATGGGTAAAAATTTTTTTCCCAAAGCCTTTTTGGGTGGAAGCATGGGTGATGAATGTTCAGCGAGGAAAGGCTGGGGCAGTGGGGAAGTCATTCTGAGGGGAATGTGTGGTGTGAAAAATGCAGAAAATTTCGTGTTTTTAAGTTTGGAGGGGGTGCGGGATTACCCAAAAATGTTGTCCAGAGGGTGAGGAAAAGGTTTTTGGGTGGGTTTGGGCAGAGAGAGAATGGGCGAAAAAGAAGACTTCAAGAGTGTAACATCTGTAGCGGAAGGGAAAGGGGGGGTGGGGCGGCCCCGGAAAGGTTGGGGGGGGGATAAAGGAGGTTTGTGGCAGGGGCTTGACTTCCAGAGGCATGCATGGCGTTTTTGATAGGAGTGAAGGGGGAACAAATGGTTTTAAAATACTTGCTGCTTTGGAGGTGAGCAAAGTAACATTTATGAAGGGATTCAGGAAACCGGCGGGCCGGGACTTGTGTCCGGGAGATGGGAAGTACAGTGCCTGCACTCTGAGGAGGGGTTTTAAAGTTGCAGTTTAAAAACTGGGGTTTAAAGCCCCTTTTCGGCAAGACATGTGGAGTGAGTTTTGGGTAAAATTTTTTTTTTCGGGCCACCCTGCCTTGGGGGGAACGAAAGTGTGTTAAAAAAAAATAATAATAAAAAAAAATCCATTTTTTCCCTAGCTTTCTTAACTTGTTTAACTCCATAATTTTTTTCTTATTTTCATTAAAAATTCCTAACAGTACCTCTCCCACTCTATCATCCGCTTCCTTTTGCACTCTCTCACCACTCCTTCCCTTTTCTTTTACTCTCCATATACTCTTCTTCTTAAAACATTTCTGCTTTGTAAATCCCTTCAAAAAGCTACCTTTTTCTCTTTTGCACACCCTTTACTTCATCATTCCCCCAAATCACTCCCTTTCCTCCTGCCCCCCCCTCCTATAACCACAACTTTGCCCCCATTCTTTTTTTCCCGCATTTTTAAAACTTTCCAACCCTCTTCAAAACCCCCCCCCCCCCCCCCCCACACTCTACCTGCACCAGTCCACCTTTTTGCCAATAGTTCTTTATTTCACCTGAACTTTCCCCCTCCCTTATTTAAAACACTTCACGTCCCTCTTACTTTTTGTTGCCATTTTTTCCCCTTATCCCATCTACCTCTTACTCTAACGGTACACCAAAAAATAATGACCGTATATCAGTTGCCCCTCTATAAAGTTACATCCTGGGCCCACCCATCAAAAACCTTTTTTTTTTTTTTTTTTTTTTTTTTTTTTTTTTTTTTTTTCAACAAGTCGGCCTTTTCCCACCGGGCAGGGTGCCCCAAAAAAGGGAAAAAAAACCCCCAAAAAGAAAATACTTTCATCATCATTCAACACTTTCACCACACTCCCACATTATCACTTTTTTGCAGAGGTCCCTCAAAACAACAGCCCTAGAAGCATACACATTTTAAGATACACACTATCCCCCAAACTGCCAATACCCCAAAACCCCCCCTTTTAAAAGGGCAGGCTTTTTACTTCCCTTTTCCCCCAGGACTCAATCCGCTAATAAAAATAACCCGGTTTCCCGGAACCCTTTCTTTAAATATTACCCTGCCACACCCAACAATCGTCGGTCCCAAGTACCATTCGTCTCCTTTCACTCCTATCTAAAAAACGCTCACCACGCTTGCGGGAAGCCCAAAACCCCCTTTAACCCACAAAACCCCCTTTTAACCCCCCCCTCCCCAAAACCCTTCAAAGGAACGCCCCTACCCCCCTTTCCCTTTCCCCTATAGATTTTATGCTTTCCATGTCATTCTACTTTGATCCATTCTCTCAAATCCCCCAAAAACCAAACCTCAAAAACCCCCTCTTCTGCCCTCGACTAAAAATTTTTTTTAACTCCACACCTTCCCCCCAAAATTTTCCACACTCCAATTTTCTGCATAATATTTCCACCACACATTCCCCTTTAAAAAGCAGGAAAACTCCACTGCCCCCAAACCGTCTCCTGCTGGGCTTTTTACCCCCCAAAAGCTCACACCCATATAAAGTGGGGGTACTACAATACTTTCATACTTTCCTTTCTTTGCCTCCATAGAAAATTTTTTTTTTTGACCCCAAACAAAATACCTCAACGCCCCAACCCCCTTTTTTCCCCTAAATTTCCTATTTTAAACCTCACCCTTTCCCAATAAATCCATCCGCCGACACGTCCAACCCCCCAAGTATCTGAAAACTTTACTTTTTCCCCATACCCCTCCTCCCCAATTTGATATCCAATTTTCTTTATCTAAATAAATTTGACACCCTAAACACCTTACTCTTTTTATTTTCCCCTTTTTTAAATTTTTCTCCCTTCCCACACTTCCCCCAAACTCATCCACTAACATTTTCAATTTTTCTTTAGAATCTCCCAAAAGCACATATCACAGCAAAAAGTAACTGTGTTTTAAAACCCTTTTTTAATTTGGGTTCCCCATAAATTTAAAACCCACCCCCCTCCAAACACCCTAGCATTTACTTCCTTAAACCCAAACCCCCCCCTATAAATATATTTAAAAAACCAAGGTGACATTACCCCTCCCGGTCTAAGCCCACTTTTAAAAACCCGGGGGTAGTCTCCCTCCTTCTACACAACCCCCAACCTAACCTCCTTTTCTTCATAAAAAATCTTTACAAACATTTAAAAACTTACCCCCTACCATATAAATTGCAAAACATCTGCCACATTGCTCCTTTTATTTCCCCTCTATCATATGCCTTTTCCCAAACCATTAAAAGCAATAAAAACTTTTCCCCACCTTTTTCTAAATTTCCCGTTTCCCCAAAATATGCTTCAATGTAAAAAACCTTTACTACAATTTCCCCCAAACCCCTCTGAACCTCCTTGCCCCACCGCAATCCTACATTTTGTCCCTTTCCCCTTTTAAATTTTTTCAAAAAAACCCTAGAACACTTTTTCCGGTATAAATCAGTAAGCTTTCCTCTATAATTTTTAAAAGTCTCTTTTGTCCCCTTTCCCCTTTTTTAAAGGGGCTAAAACCCCCCTCCTCCGCCAATCCCAGGTTTCCTTCCCCTCTTTCATACATTTATTGAACAAAAGTACCAACCACTCCAACACTATATCCCCCCCTGCTTTTAACATTTCTGTCATGATCCCATCAGTACCAGCTGCTTTACCCCTTTCATTTTACGTAATGCCTCACGTACCTCCCCCACACTTACATTCTGCTCTTCTTCACTCCTAAAAGATGGTATACCTCCCTGACCAGTGCATGAAATTACTGCCTCTGTTTCTTCCTTAACATTTAAAAGTTCCTCAAAATATTCTCGCCATCTACCTAATACCTCCATCTCCCCATCTACTAACTCCCCTACTCTGTTTTTAACTGACAAATCCATATTTTCCCTTGGCTTTCTTAACTTGTTTAACTCACTTCCAAAATTTTTTCTTATTTTCATTAAAATTTCTTGACAGTGCCTCTCCCACTCTATCATCTGCTCTCCTTTTGCACTCTCTCACCACTCTCTTTACCTTTCTTTTACTCTCCATATATTCTGCTCTTCTTATAACACTTCTGCTTTGTAAAAACCTCTCATAAGCTACCTTTTTCTCTTTTATCACACCCTTTACTTCATCATTCCACCAATCACTCCTCTTTCCTCCTGCACCCACCCTCCTATAACCACAAACTTCTGCCCCACATTCTAATACTGCATTTTTAAAACTATTCCAACCCTCTTCAACCCCCCCATTACTCATCTTTGCACTATCCCACCTTTCTGCCAATAGTCGCTTATATCTCGCCCGAACTTCCTCCTCCCTTAGTTTATACACTTTCACCTCCCTCTTACTTGTTGTTGCCACCTTCCTCTTTTCCCATCTACCTCTTACTCTAACTGTAGCTACAACTAAATAATGATCCGATATATCAGTTGCCCCTCTATAAACATGTACATCCTGGAGCCTACCCATCAACCTTTTATCCACCAATACATAATCTAATAAACTACTTTCATTACGTGCTACATCATACCTTGTATATTTATTTATCCTCTTTTTCATAAAATATGTATTACTTATTACCAAATTTCTTTCTACACATAGCTCAATTAAAGGCTCCCCATTTACATTTACCCCTGGCACCCCAAATTTACCTACTACTCCCTCCATAACATTTTTACCCACTTTATCATTGAAATCCCCAACCACCATTACTCTCACACTTGATTCAAAACTCCCCACGCATTCACTCAACATTTCCCAAAATCTCTCTCTCTCCTCTACACTTCTCTCTTCTCCAGGTGCATACACGCTTATTATAACCCACTTTTCACATCCAATCTTTATTTTACTCCACATAATCCTTGAATTAATACATTTATAGTCCCTCTTTTCCTGCCATAGCTTATCCTTCAAACATTATTGCTACTCCTTCTTTAGCTCTAACTCTATTTGAAACCCCTGACCTAATCCCATTTATTCCTCTCCACTGAAACTCTCCCACCCCCTTCAGCTTTGTTTCACTTAAAGCCAGGACATCCAGGACATCAACCTTTTATCCACCAATAATACATATGTTCACCAAAAGCACTTTCAATTTTGGGGGTCTGGACAGTAAAAGGGTTAAATTGAGGGTATAGTGAGAATATATTCTGTTTGATGTATATTTGCTAAAATAAATCTAATTATCTCTTCTTTACTGTACTATAAATTGCAATATATGGAAGAAATCACAGTAAATTGCAGTATTGCAAATATGAAAAAAATGCTACAGTGAAAATAGGAAATAAATTCTGATTGCTTTCATGTGCTTGCACATTTACCTTGAGAGAGGAAGATATGTATGTACATATGTGTGAACTCATGAAAGCACTCAGGTTTTATTTCGTGTTTTCACTGTGGTGTATTTTCATTACAACACTATATACATATTAAGTTTATTTTTGTAATAAGTGATAATTTGTTTAAACAGGTGAGCAGCATGAATGGTGCTAATTCATCGCCACTACAGTTAGTTTCATACTGGAAGTGTGAGGACAGCCATACTGACTTGCGGATAGACTACAAGTACAACCCTCATGCCATTGCTTCCCCATCTCCGTTATTGAACGTCAATGTTTCAGTACCCATGGATGGCATTGTTAAAAACATGCAGTCTAAACCTCTAGGCCAGTGGTAAGTTCAGAATTACTCTAGATTTTTAGTAAGTTCAGAGTTACTCTAGATTTTTAGTAAGTTCAGAGTTACTCTAGATTTTTAGTAAGTTCAGAGTTACTCTAGATTTTTAGCAAGTTCAGAGTTACTCTAGATTTTTAGTAAGTTCAGAGTTACTCTAGATTTTTAGTAAGTTCAGAGTTACTCTAGATTTTTAGTAAGTTTTTGTAGTACAATGATACACTATTATCTCCATAAGCTGTCCCATAGCTTGGTTGGTAACATATTCACCGCGGTCCGTGGTTCAATCCCCGGTGGGGATTGAACCACATCTGTTCACCTAGCAGCAAGTAGGTACCTGCATGTTAGCTGACTAGTTTAGATTGCATTCTGGGGACAAAATTTTCTAAGATGCCCAAAATGCTTTGCATAACTACAGAGCTTTTTATATAGTTTTTTTTTTTTTTCAACAAGTCGGCTGTCTCCCACCGAGGCAGGGTGACCCAAAAAAGAAAGAAAATCCCCAAAAAGAAAATACTTTCATCATCATTCAACACTTTCACCTCACTCACACATTATCACTGTTTTTGCAGAGGTGCTCAGAATACAACAGTTTAGAAGCATACACATATAAAGATACACAACATATCCCTCCAAACTGCCAATATCCCAAACCCCTCCTTTAAAGTGTAGGCATTGTACTTCCCATTTCCAGGACTCAAGTATGTCATTAAAAAAACCACAGTACCGGTGGGATTAGAACCCAAAGCAGGTGAACCGTAAAACTCCAGCCAGTGCTTAAGCCACTGGCCTGGAGTATCATGGTTTGTTTATAATCGTGTTGTTATGATTTTGTGAGTTAGTATGTCACTGATGTCAGCTAGGTCTGTATAAGTTGTATCATTTTTTTAACACATCGCCCGTTTCCCATCAAGGCAGGGTGACCCAAAAAGAGAGAAAAACCCAAAAAGGAAAGAAAAAACATTTATCATAATTCAACACTTTCACCATCGCTCATACATAATTTTTATCTTTGCAGAGGCACTCAGTTACGATAGCTTAGACATTCCTACAAATTGCCAATATCCCAAACCCCTCATTTAAAGTGCAGGCATTGTATTTCCCATTTCCAGAACTCAAGTCCAGCTAACCAGTTACTCTGAATCTTTTCAGAAAATATTACCCTGCTCACACTCCAACAGCTCGTTATGTACGGTGGACCCTTGTTTTTCGTCATTAATCCGTTCCAGGAAGTGTGACTATTTTCAAAATTGACGATTTTCAAAACCATTTTCCCCATAAGAAATTATGTAAATACAATTACTCCGTTCCAGACACCCAGAAGTATTAAAACAAAAATTTTTTTTTACATGAAATATAGATGTAGTACATACACAATACAATGGGACATGATGAATGAAACATCAACAGCATAACACTTACCTTTATTGGCGATTCTTCTTAGTGTATGGAAGACTGGAGGAGGGAAGAGATTGGATTATTTATTGTTTGGAAGGGGAATCCCCTTTCATCAACACCTCAGGTACCAAGTCCTTTTCTGGGGTTACTTCTTTTCTCTGTTTCCTAATGCTACTAGGACCAGCTTGAGAGTCACTGGAGCCCTGCCTCGCAAAAAAAGTGTCCACAGAGCTCTTTCTGGCGTCCCTTTAAAACTTTCTTAAAATGGGCCAAGACTTTGTCACTGTACAAGTTGCCGATATGGCTTGCAACAGCCTTTTCAGGGTGATGTTTCTCCATTAATATTTCCATTCTATTCCACATTTCAAAAATCTCTTTAATTTCTGAAGAAGGCAACCTCTTTCATCTCTCTTCCTCCTCCTCCTCTGCAGCAGTATTCTGAGCTGCGGTCTGTTGCTGTTCCAGCTGAAGCTCCTGCAGCTCCTCAGTGGTTAGCTCTTCGTTGTGGTCCTCCACCAACTCTTCCACATCCTCCAAACTCACACCCAACCCCATGGAACTCCCCAATGCCACAGTAGATTCCACAACTGCCATAGGCTGGTCAGGGTCAGCCCCAAACCTTTCAAAATCCCTCTTGTGGACACAGTCTGGCCACAATTTTATCCAAGCAGAGTTCAAAGTCCTGGTAGTGAGTGTTTGAGGTTATATTAAGTTACCTTTGAAACATTGCTTTGGTGTAGAGTTTCTTAAAGTTTGAAATGATCTGCTGGTCCACGGGCTGGAGGAGAGGAGTGGTATTAGGGGACAAGAACTTTACTGTGATGAACCCATACTCCTCCAGAATTAGGTCATCTAAGTTTGGAGGATGAGCATGTGAATTGTCCATTAGCAGGAGGCACTTGAGATTCAGTTTATTTTCCAGGAGGTAATTCTTCACACTGAGACCAAACACTTTGTTGAACCACTCAACAAAAATTTCCCTCGTGACCCATGCCTTATTATTAGCTTTCCAAAACACACACAATTTACTCTTCATAACACTTGTTTTTCTTGAACGCTCTGGGATTTTCAGAATGGTACACTAGTAACAGCTTCACTTTGAAATCCCCACTAGCATTACTACAAAACATGAGCGTCGGCCTGTCTTTCATAGGCTTGTGTCCTGGCAGTCCCTTTTCCTCCTGAATAATGTAGGTCCTCTTTGGCATTTTCTTCCAAAAGAGGCCTGTTTCGTCACAGTTGAGCACTTGTGGTTTTAATTGTTCAGTCTGTACGTACTCCTTGAATTCACTTACAAATTTTGTAGCTGCCATGCCTTATCACACTGTGTATGCCACTACGGTTCTTAAATCTCTCAAACCAACCTTTGCTGGCCTTAAATTCACAAATATCAGTACTCGTTGCAGGCAATTTCTTTACGAGATCGTCATGCAACTGCCCAGCCTTGTCACAAATAAGCAACTGCATAAGACTATCTCCTGCTAATTGTTTCTCGTTTATCCTCGCCAATAATAACTTCTCATCATCTTCGAGTACTTGCGATCTCATTTTTGTCAGCATATTTACCCCCTTTGCACCAACAGCTTCCTTGATTTCCTTTTTCTTGGCCACGATGGAAGCTATGGTTGTATGGGGTTTCTTATACATCATGGCCAGTTTGGCCACACGTACGCCACTTTCATATTGTTCAGTGATGTTTTTCTTGAATTCAGTCGTATTTCTCACCTTTACCAAAGGCCTGGCACTAGGAACTTTCTTAGGAGCCATGGTACCTTATTTAGCAGTTGCAAGCACTAAAATGAATGGAATACTATTATGAAATGTTTCATATGAACAAGTGAGAGGACCATCACTCACTGGTAAACAGTGTTCACACTGGCTGGGAAGGGAGTGCGAGGCGGCTCGGAGCCGTGAGTACGCGTCCGGGACAAACGACTATTTGCAAGTCAAACGACAATTCGCGAGTCAATGTTTTGACGAAAATAACGTTACGATTTTTGGAAATTATGACTTTCGAGCCTTACAATTATCGAGGGTCCACTTTACTTTTAAAAATAAAGATTATTAATGTTACTATTATTATTATTATTATTATTTTCAACAAGTCGGCCGTCTCCCACCGAGGCAGGGTGGCCCAAAAAAAAAATACTTTCATCATCATTCAGCACTTTCACCTCACTCATACATAATCACTGTCTTTGCAGAGGTGCCCAGATACAACAGTTTAGAAGCATATGTAAAGATATACTGTATAACATATCCCTCCAAACTACCCATATCCCAAACCCCTCCTTTAACCCTTAAACTGTCCACACGTAGATATACGTTCACATGTGGCAGGCTCCGAACGTAGATCAACGTTTTAATTTTCATTCCTTCAAATTTGGTGTGATAGGCCTGAGTCACTTAGACATTAACCCTTTGAGGGTCAACAGGTCCTCTCAGAGACTCGTTCTCAGGGTCGGCCAAATTTCAAAAAAAAAAAAAAAAAAAATTCTTATGAAAAAAATTGAGTTTTTTTTTTTAATATTATAGGCTAAACAAAAAATTTTTACTATCAATGCTTACCGAGATATGGAGGCGTGAAGTTGATGAAAAAGGGGACAATGTGGCAACATCGCCGACTGCCATCTCCCGGTATTCTTTTATTTACTTTCTTATGTACTAATTTCTATTATTTTTTAATTTTTTTTTTCCAAGTAACTTTTATGGCCTGTGAGACCAATATGATCAGTATTTTGTAAGTTTTTTCTTTTTCAATACTACATAATAAGGGCATAAACACTGTTGTCATTGTTTTGTTTATAAAAAATATTTACACAAACAAACAATATGAAATGTTGTTTATTAGTATTTTTCTATATTTTATATACACATATACAGTCACAGGGAATGTTTCTAGAAGTTCTGCAGCCTGTGGAACTCTTTAAAGCATCGTGTCAAGCACAGTTGGTTTTTTTACACTCCTCATACATAAAACGAGTGTCTCGCGTTGTTGTGGGCGATTTTTTGTATGTGCACGACCGTAACCCTCTCTGACCTTTTTCTTGAAAGCAGTAGTAGCCAGTTTTAACCAGGAAGTGATCACCATGCTTCAGACGAGAAGGTAGTTTGTTGATAATTTTTTGGTTGGGCGGTCCTATTGCAGGTGTTCTCCTTTGGTACTTGAATACATTTGTCTGAGACAGACAGACAAAAATTTCGCCATATTGTGGTTTGTTTCTGGTCCTCATTTTATACATATATAAGCATTAAAGCAGGGAAATGTCCAGAAGATGGAAAAAGAGTTTTATATACCACTTATAACTCTTGCAAAACACAAACAGCAAACCCAATCTGCATGTCACATTTGTCCACTGAACGATATTGAAGGTGTAATCAATCACAGCTGCAGGTTTTAGAATGATTCATGCTCTCTCTATGCTGCCTGCCATGTCTGCCATTTCATTAGGGTGAACTGATGAAACAGTGTGACATCTCGTTTGTCATGCCACCAAAATGCCATGATGTCATTGGCAGCAAACGCCTGCACCTCACCTCTACGAGTCCAGCGTCAAACCTGGGCATATGTTTCCGATTTTTTACCACTGTGCCACACACAT